GTATATTATAATTATTGTCATAATAATATAATATGCGCGTATATAATATTATTATAATGTAAAGGTACCCGAAAGGGATGGAGTTGGACCCTGATGTGGCACATGCGTAATACAATATAAACCGTATTGAAGACCCGACATCGGGGATGACCTATGTAGAAAAATGTAATGCTATATTTTATTAACGGTTGTTATTATTATTAATTATAGTAAATTTATTCAATTTTTATTTTTTGGTGCTTTGCCACAGATTTTTCACATTTGATTATCATAAGCTTGGCCGACACGACATAGGTACTACAACACCCCTAAACTACGAAGTGATAAGAAAAATAAACACGTCGGTGACGGTGAAATATTATTATAATTTATAGGTATACAATACGAAATATAGAATATATTATAATATATATAATAATACATCGATTTATCTCTCCTCTCTAAAGCAGTAACACATTAATTTCGAAGTATTATATTAATTTATTATAGTAATTTAGATGCCCTGATAGTATTATACTGTTTACACATTTAACGATTTTATTTTATGTATTGTCCTACACTCCTACACGGCTACACACGGGGAAGGTATATACCACTTTAATATTACATTGTTATTGGGTCCGCGACGACGATTCCCGACGGGAAGCAGACGATGGTCGACTATGTACCTACGTCACGTGTATTATAATGCACACATAATTACAATATTCGTGAGAAGAAATCTGGCGGACGATCTCGATTGGGTAAAAACCGAAATGTTCTCTCCGCGTGTGTGTGTGTGTGTGTGTGTGTGATAAATTTCGATCATTAACCGGTGGTAAAAAGGAGAGGAGGGGGGCAAGTGATCGAGATCGAATTCTAAATGTGGTAAAATATAATATAATATTATGATGACACATTGTTGTGTAACTCGAACAAACACGAGACGGCTACCTCCTACACGATAATTGACATGGGTTTTTTTTTTTAAAATTATTATCATTTTAAGAATACGGTTAGAAAAAAAGACTGTTTTAAAATATTATAATATTATATGCAATACATTATACCATTGAGAGAATACATTGTACCTAAACATTTTTTTATAGCGAGGTATTAATATTGGCGATAATGTGCTACGACGACGCCGCGTATGATCCATACACCTATAACAGCGGTAGGTAACGCGGTCGAAACGTACGAAGGGAGGGGAAGAGTGAAAAACGTCTGTCGCGAAGAACGCGCATGACATGGACCGCTGCCGTGGCTCTTGTCACGATCGTTGCGATACGTGGGCTGTTGATTTTGGCTGGATGATCGCACTAATTAATATTATGGTACAACAAAAATAATAGTAAAAACAATAATAATAATAATAATGGCACATGATCAAAAAAACATTAAATAATATTATTGGCGGTGATGGTGGGGGCAAGGGAATATAATTATTGAATAGCAGAATTAACCGAAAGTATAGTAAATTTATTACCATAGTAGTCTAAAATAGTAAAATATATAAAATATAATCAATCGTAAATATTATGTCAAACAAAACTTAACACGGTCGAAAAATACGCACCCTGATTAAATTGTTTTGAGTTCGGGAATCTATATTATATTATTACATTTGAATATTATAAGAGTGTTTGTAATCGTTACAAATCGGAAACGCTCCCATCTTGGTGCCGAGCGATGATTCATGAAAACGAACAAAAATTCACTTTACACGTCATCGGCGGTGGTGATGATGATGATGATAATAATAATATAGTAAATCTATTCCGGGATGGGGAGATTTCTCCTCTTGTTCCCAATGTAATATTTTCTTAATTATTATTCTATTGCTATAAAAGTTACGTTGGCACGATCATTATTATAAAGTAATAATATTTTGTAAATATCATAATAATACATGTTGTCTACCAAGTCTAAAATATTAATAATAATAATAATAATAATTAATAATAATAATAATAATAATAATAATAATAATAATAATAATAATAATAGTAATGATAATGATAATAATATTATTAATAGTAATGACAATAATAATAAATTATACATAGTATACGATTAAAATGAAAAAAATGCACTCTTTCAACTATAATAATAATATAATATAAGCCATTCGTCGTCAATGGTATACTGTTCCAATGACGACTCTATATGGACATATATATTATAATAAACGATACATAGGAAACGTGAAACCAGTGTACAAATACGGGCGGGGCGAACACTAACCTTACGCTACTAAGAATGATTATTACCAATATGAAAAGGCACGGTTTGTTTGTTTTCACACACACACCGTACCGATGTCATTACCATATTTAATATTATATACGTAAAATATGTCGTAAGTGTGCGACGTTTCTAATAACTACGGAATAAAATTTATAAAATTAAAAATTAAACCGAAATATAAAATATATCATACAAACGTAAGGTACCTACATACTTACTTAATAATATCATCTAATGTTCAAGCGAATAAAATCTACTTAAAGAAAAAATAAAGAAAAATAATTCAAAACCACACACAAAAAAACACTGACTAGACAAAATAATATTTTTTTTTTTTTTTTTTTTTTAAATCTTATCAAGATATAGGTACGAAAAATAAAGTAATCGTGGAATGTATGTACGTATGAGCACATAAAAAATATATACCTAACGTATAATATAGGTACAAAATGCACAAGGAAGTAATAAAAATGTTAGTAGGATGTTTGGAAGAACTTACACGTTATATAAATATATTAATATTATGTTACTGATTGGAAAGCGACATCGCTTGGAAAGTAAAAAAATAAAATATTTGGAAATATGTTTTCGAAATTAATTATCATGTATTATAAAAATTATATTAAAAAAAATGTATAACAAGTTTTAATTATCTTTAAACAAAAAAAAAAATAAAAATAAATAATAAGAAATAAATAAAACAAAAAATGCGCATTGCCGTATAAAAAATAATTATAGGAGACAATAATATTATAATGTGTTATTATTCACTGATCAGCATAATATATTTGATAGTGTTCATATTGTTGAACTTATAATATTATGATGACGAGGACATTACGATATTACTTATTATGTTTTATATTTTAATTTGTTTTCAAATCGAGATAACACGAACTTTAGCAACTAAACATGTAACTTAAATGGAGAGACAAGCGCAAGTTTACAAAGCTATTATTAGCTAACTAAATGCCTCATTATTAATTAATATTATAATCGTCAATAATAAATAATAATAAATTCGAAAATATCATTAAAAATGCAAAAATAATAATAATAATAATAATAATAATAATAATAAAAAATAATAATAATAATAATAATAATAAACGCGTAAAACACAAACACAAACACTACATTAAAGCTACATTATCATATTAATTTTATTTCTCGGTGCATAAAAAAAAAAAATTAAGAAAAAAATTAAATACTGTGAAGACACTATTATCCTTAACTATAAGAATACGAAAGTACAAAAAATCAATTAAGAATAAAAAGTCTAATGGAATACCGCACATTTTACTTTTTTTTTTATATATAAAAAGATGAAAATTAACTAAAATTAAACTCAACAATAATAATATCCAATAACTACTTAGACAAAGAAAAACAAAAACTAGTGAGCAATCCCACTATAACAATTATTACTCCCAATTAAAAAAATTATAAATTTTTGTTGATTTCGTACTTTTTGTTTGTAGGTACGTTTTATAATTAAGATTTCGTTTTCAACGCTTGATTATTAATATAAAATAACAACGCAAAATATGAGAAATACACACTTTCACAAAAATTGATTTAGTAATTATTATAATTCTAGTATAAGTAATTATGTATAATAAATGTATAATTAGGACAAAAAATATTGTAAACCTGTACACGTACTAAAATATTTTTGAGTTCGAATAAATAGAAATGAACGAAAAATAAAGGATAAACAACTTAAATAATATATTTTTAGGTAGGTATTTTTTTCTCAAATAATACAGGTTAAAAAAAATATGGTGCGAGTATCCGTACATTAAGTGGCGAAAAAAAAATAGGAGACTCGGAATCCGAAATTTGACTAGCAAAGTCCCATGGAAAGGAACGCTTCAACAAATCAGAGCAGATACTTTGATGTAATAACAAAAATATTAAAATTAAAACAATTAAACAAAATTAAAATTAATTTAGTTTAAAGGCATGTTGGTAAGAAAACTATCCTGGGATTTCAGTACATTTTAATGAATACAAAAATAATAACAAAAATAAGTAAGTTTCGCGCACTAAAGAGGACAAAGACACTCGCTAGCCTAATTATTTTTTTTTTCATCTACTACTTTTTAAAAGTTATGTATAATAATAATTAATTCACATAATAATAATACAAAATAACAGTCCTTAAGTTACAAATTACAAGTCTCAGAATTTCAATCTAACCTGGTTACAATAAAATATGTATTTAAAAAAAACATCCAAAGAATAAAAACCCCGCGAAGTTAAAATATTAAAAACGTTAAAAGTTAGAGGTAAAAAACACAAAAAAAAAAAATCATAATAAAACAAACATGTACTGTAGATGGTTTTTTTTTGTTTTTTTTTAACTGGCATATATTTTTTTGTGGGTTTTAAGTACTCAAAATGTAACAGGTTTACACTGTGAATTTGCTAAAATGAAACAATAATAATTTACTCAATTAATAAAAACATAATTATGTAACTGTACTCCTGACAGGCATTTAACGCTCAGGACATAATGATAATATATGTATGTATATGTAATGTATATAATAAACGCGCACAAACCTGCGACATTTTTTTTTTTGCATAACAAAATAATGTGTGATGAGCAGTGGACACAAAGAGAGCGAACAACTTTTTTTTTGGGTGGGTGGAGAAGAAAAAAAAAATGTCAACAGATTCTTTTCTTTACAAAAAAAATACCGTTGACATTAATTTTTTTTTCATGGCGACACGATTTAATTTTTAGGAATGCTTAATAATGAGATCTACATTAACATCGGAGGTATTTGAATGTAACGGTAGATGTACAGCCGATAGTCCTTGCTGGCCAGCACGACGGAGCCGTCGTCCATGAGGGCGACGTCGAAGCATTGCGCGTGCTTGACCTTGGACTCGAGGGCGGACACCAGCTGGCCCTCCTGCGTGAATATGGTCAGATTGAAATTGTTGTGGTTGTCGGCAATGAGAATCTCGCCCGATGCGTTTATGCCCACGCCGATTGGATAGTTGGTGATGCCCTGGCTGCCGATCTGCCGCAGATACTGTCCCTCGTAGTTGAACACCTTGACGCAGTGGGCCCTATTGTCGGATATGAATATCTCCTGTTTGTCATTGACCACTACGCCGTTGGGGAACTCTAGGTGCTTGGAGCATCCGAACTTGACCAGCACGTTGCCGGCTTGGTCGAAGATGATGACGCGCATCACCTTGCACTCGACCACCACGATGCGGCCCTTGTTGTCAACGGTGATGCCACGTGGGTGTTGCAGAATGTTGGCGCCGAACTTGCGGACGAACTGCCCGTACTGGTTGTAGATCTGGATCTGGTGCGTGGGCGATCGCTCGGTGACGATTATGTCACCGGACGGCTTAACTACGGCCACACGGTTCGGGTACAGCAGCTGTCCGTCCCGTTTGCCGCACTCGCCGAATTGGAACTTGAACCGGCCCTCCTTGTCGAATATCTGGATACGGTGGTTATTGGTGTCCGCCACAATGATGTCGTTCTGCGCGTTCACTGCCACGCCACTGGGCTCGGTGAACTGGCCCTCCATGGCACCGAACTCGCCGAACTTGCAGTGGTAGATCATCTTGTGCCGCTTGATCTGTGACTTAGGTGGGAATATGGAAGCGGTGAATAATTTGCTGGACAGGTCCAGTATGGAGTCATTGTTGTCGATGGTCAGTGGGAAGTCTGCGCTGCCGTTTTGGAAAATGTCGCCACTTCCACCGTTGGACCACTTCTCGTACGGATTGATGCTGTTCATACCTCCACCACCGCCACCACCACCACCACCGTTGCCTCCACCCATGCCGTTGATGCCGTTCATGTTGCCGATGGCGTTCAAATTCAGGTCACCGATCGAGCTGGCCGAGAACGGTCCCAGGCTGTTGACGCTGTTGAAACGCTTGGACAGTATGTTGTTAGTGTCGTACTGACCGGACGAAAGTGGACTGGTGGACGTCAGTCCGTTGGAGTACGGACGTTCGATGATGCCTCCACCGTTACCGCCTCCTCCATTTGTGCAGGTGACACCGTTGTGCTGTTGTAGTAAGTCCGCGGGGACGCCACCGCCGTTCATGCATCCGTTTGAGATGATCGCCGAATTTCCATTCATCAGCGACCCGTTCGTTGGACGGGCGATCGGCGGCTGCTTGCCCGGCCCGATCACTCCCAACTCGGTGCTGGACCGTACGTACCCGAACGTGTTCCTCACGCCAACTTGTATGGCCTGATAGTTGGACACGAATTCCAAGTCACAGATGTTTTGCACGCTGTTATCAGGTTCGTAACTCATCAGCGACTGTAGCTTGGAGTCCAGTAGTTTCTTGAACAGCAGGCACTCGACAACGTTGGCGTTTTTAGTCAAACGGTCGACGAACTCGCCGGTCTGATAAATCTTGTCCACCACCTCCAATCCCTTCTGCGACGCCTCGTTCAACGTCAGCTGCTTGGCACTGTACACGCTCTCAACCTCCTTGAGCAACTCCTGTTTGCGCTCCTCGAGCATAGACCGGTAAAATGCGAATGTCTCGTTGATCTCGTTCTGTGCCTTGTGGTACTGCACTTGCAGCTTGTTGGATGTGTGTTCAATGTTTTTAACCATATTGCGGATGTCGGTCGCCTTAACCTTACTTTCCTGCACCGTGCCGTTGAGTATGTCCAGCAGCTTGACGCCAATATCACTCAGATGCTCCACGTCATGCATGCTGAACTGATGGTCACTGAGCGTGCACTCCTTGCACACGGGCACGTTGCACGTGCGGCAAAAGTATTTCAATGACTCGTTCTTGTGACGTGAGCAGAACACGACGCGGTCACCCACGCTGGTCGGTATGAACGAATTCTTCGTGTCGTCGCCGTTCTCGAACGTCAGACCGTGCAGGCGGTGGTCTTCGAAACAGTTCATGAATTGGTGGGCCATCATGCAGTTTGCGCACAACGTTTGCTGACAGTCGTAACAGTATGCCACCACGTTTGTGTTGAGATTCTTGCAGCCCTTGCACACGCCCGCAAACTTGTCCGGGTTGACCTCGATCGAACCGTTAACGGTGAAGTCTGGCAACAGTCCAGATATTCCGCGGTTTGTAAGGATGCACTCCTGGTGACAGTTAGGGCACGTGATCTTCTCCGGTTGATCCTGGTTATTCTCTAAGCAGGCGTGACAGAAGGTATGTAGACAAGGAAGCACTCGCGGGTTTGAGAAAATCTCATGGCACAACTGGCATTTGCGGGGACCAGTGTTGTTGCTAGTTCCACTGCCACCTGTGGACACGCCCGAGCCGCTGCTATCGGAGTCGGTTGGTGAGTGGCTGGATGACAACGATCTATTGTAGTCCGGGCCGAATGTGTTGAATCCGGATAACGAATCTAGAGACGGCGTAGGAGAAGCCATCATTTAATCCAACGGGTTTAAATCTGTAACACATCAAAATCGACAGGTTAATAAAATTATTATACTACTAAAACGAAAAGCGATAGATCTAATTTCAATAATATTATATTTTACCAAGTAATTTTATGCTTGAGAGTAATCCGTCGCATAATACAATTAAAACAACTAACGCCAAAACAATAATAATATATACCTACATATTTTTAAATTTAATTTCGTTTGTTTATATCATATTATATATAGAATAAAGGAGGATAATAAAAGGCCCTAGCGTTTGGTGTATTTCTAAATTTTCAAACTATGAGTCATTACGACCGATAACTACATTGTCGGTGCGGGATTACCATGGTTACCGATGCCGCAGCATCGTCGGCACGATTCCACAGGGAGAAAACGCACACTTCCGCCATTGACCTCTCTGCCATCACCTGCGTCCACCCACCGACTGGCCCTAACTATGCAGCGCACGCGCATCCTATAGTTTTTGTGTTGACACTCAGTTCGTGACTACACACTGCCACAAGGGTCAACGAACTATAAACATTTCCGACCGTTAAACTTCTGATGTTGTTATAATAATAACAAACGTTTTACCGTTTAAACTTGTAAACAAAATTATTTAAGAAAATATTATACACCAATTATTTTAAGTTTAGATAGCTTGTGAAATTAAATTTAAACGAAGAAAAAAAGAAACTAAAAATGTACCTATTAATAGGTAATATAACTTATTAGTTATTATATTATTTGCTATTTTAACTAATGTAAATACAAAAGGCCTTTAGGAGTTAATAATAATAAATAAATAAATAAGTACAGTAATTAAGTGGTTATATTTCGGTACATTATTGACATAAAAAGCGGGCAAAATGTTTATTTACACTATAAGGTAAAGTATTTCTCGAGGTATTTCTGTCCAAGTTCAGTATAGTTTGGTAATCTACTTCAGATATTTATCTTACAAAAAAACATGGAATTCTTAACACCCCCGATGCTCGAGCATATTATACTATTAGAATCAAAAATGTAAGACTCAAAGAACACCACTCGAGGTGGCCCGTTTGTTGGTTTTGCCGTTATTTTTCTGCTCCGCACAACAATAGCTTGAACAGTGAACACGTTTGTCAAGGGGCAACAAAAAAATATAAACTGCTCACCTACCTGAGAGGAAATAATAAAATGTTGAAATAAAAAAAAATGCTTTTGTTAATACGTCGATTAACGTTATATAAGGATTAACATAATTTTTCGGACACACACATGACTGACATGGGTTTCTATACAAGTAAGAAAAACTATATATACAAACTTGTACCGTCGTGCATGAGAACCAAACAATTTGTAGGGTAATGAGACCGCTTTTGCGTTTGTGTGGTGGTGAGGACGCGACGTATAAACACATAATATGGCGGGACTTGTGAGAAATAACGTGACAACGGGGGGGCCATCTTCTGAAAGGTGGTTCCCTTGTGCGCATTTTCCCCCTATCCTTTTATATTTATTAACTAAAAATATTTTAAAAGGATCCACGCCCCGCAGATTTTTTACTAAGCGGTTTTATTGCTATTTTTCCCTCCACTGCTAATTTTTGTTCTTCGAAAACCTCCCTTACCATAGTTGTTCGCACGTCTTACAAATCCGATACGGCTGAAGTGTAGTACTACCTCGATATACCTATATTTACTGGCCAAAACGGTACGAATAATATTATTATTCCTTTAGTTGGCGAGGGTGGTTCAAGAATAAAACACATTTTTATACGACACAGAAATGCGGGGGCGAGAAATACAGTATACTAGGGGTCGATCGCCTTCGTTTCCACGGCAACTAGTTGTTGCTCCAGCGTACGAGTACATAAAACTAAAACAATGGTATTATGTCTTCGTTTCACCGGATACCGAACATAATACAACGACAAGATGCGCATTTTCATACTAATACCTACAGTAATAACTAATATGTGTACGCATAGCAAATTAAAAATATTTTCAAGACATTACGCATTTATATAATATGTTTAAATATATGCTGCGTGAAAATATTTAAAGTTGCTCAAAAGAGACCTTTTTATTACGAATTTACAGATTTTAAATAATCTCAAGTACCTACATATTATAATATTCATAGATCACACATTCACTTTGTGGCAGAAGGGAATTTAATGTTTTTCGCGTAGAAATATTTAATAACATTTAAAAACGTCAAATCTTCGGGACCAACGAAGCATAGGCAGTAATAAATAATATAGCAATCACCCTAAATTTCGCCACAAACATTTTTTTTTTACTGCGGGTGGTCGAAAATCTGAAGGCTTCTTTTAATACGTTTTATAACGACAACGGAGAAAAAAATACACACACAATCGACCTTGGCAGAGTGTCTAGACGTTATATTCTTTTGGCTCCTCTAGTCCAGCTGCAATGTACAAAACGTGGGCGGGCGGGGTTATCCCCGCACACATTATTATTTAGCAGTATAACTCGTTGTTCTTTGATTCTTTTTTATTATTGCTCTTTTTTTATTGTTGTCTGGAGCGCGGTTCTTGGAAAATCCTAACCTGCAGATAAACGGCACGTTCTCTTCGGCAATTAACTATGTGGGTACCTAATACAATATTATAGTGAACACCTACTAATATTCAACAACCGACATCATCACAACGGTGCATAATTTTCAAGAAAAAATAATTATATTTGACGAGAGTACACTATTATGTTATTTTTTATTTTAATGCTGCACAAGTCAGATCCGTATAATATTATAAGCAACAGGGAGAAACAACGTGGATTATTGATTCGCCTTGGGGGAGGACCTTGAGCCCGGGCGCTCGTGTGGACAACTGGGGTCGGCGACCGCAATTCCTGACAAAAAAATAAACTTCCCGTTTCCCCTAAAAAAACACGGCAACGCGAATTGTTGAAGGGGGAATGAACAAAAAAAATCAATTCGTACTTTTTTAAAATCAGAAAGTACGCAAACTCTGTCCACGCAATTCGCAAAATTATTGTTTTTACACACTATTATACGTTTATAACTATCGAGAGTGGTTTGAGGAAAAATAAAAACTACAATTATTTCGTTCGAATAGTCTCGGTCTGAGACCTATTATAACTCTGACGGCTGATGGGTAAATGCTGGCTGTATATTAAAACCGTTGTCAAGTACACGCGATCGAAAAACGTTTCCGGTTTTATAACATAATAATATATTAGAAGTGATTTATTATATTTATGGTGTAGAAATTTCAGAAATTGGAAGCTTCAAGTTCAAAAAAATACATTTAATATAGTCTTTTTGCGGAAGCATTACGTGAAACCATGACTATACTGGCTCCTATAATAGGAAGTAGCCACATTTCACAATATTAATATTATTAATTATTATATTGACACTACTAATTAACCAGGATACTGAGCGTATTATGTACAGATTGCGATACTCAACCATCAATTTTCTCATTTCTTTTTGTTTAAGTTTTGACCCGAATTTTTGTTTTGTTTTCTTCGAAATCTATCACACCTCATTACCGTGAATACACTCAAAATAACGACAACATTATAATACTGCCATACTGCGACTGCCATCTATGATGAGTAAAATAAAAAACAACTCCTCTGAACAACTGAGAATGAAGAAAACGTGGGGTGGCGGTGTGCCCGGTGGTAGTGGCTGCGCGGCGACGGAATACAGTGTGACCAACAGTGTTTGTCGACCACCACCTCCATACGAACCTTAACCTTGGTGCGCTTAAATGTTGCGGTAGGTCAAAAGTGAGAAAATTCGTACGCAATATATACACAACGGTGAGTATGATGTTAATCCGGTTTAACGCGTCGCGTTTACGCCAGCGGCTACACATAGAGAACTTTGCTATAAATATTATATATAAATATATATTATGTACCTACATTAAATTATATACATAATACCAAATTATATTGAATAACGTGTTATGGTAGTTGGGGGTCTTCGTTTACAAACCGATACGATGAATCGTGTACACCGCACACACGTGGTCGTATACACAGCAGCAGTGGCGTACGTGCAGACCGTGTGTGTGAATACTGAATTTAAATGACTATTGCAGCGATATAATATTATATATTATATTATATCGATATACCGTGCGCACGACCGGCTGTTGAAGCGAGTTGTTATAAGACGAGTTGGCGAAAACGTCACAATACCTACTATTATTTATTTTTAATATAATTCGTTATGAAGTATTATTAACATAACGCCTTCCGCGTGGTCCCTTGCATAATCAGATTTATCAGCTTGGTAAATGGTAATCTACACGATCATCGTTGCGCGAAATAATAACAACCCGTTGAACGTGCGGGTGAGAGCTTTTGAATATTATATTATTAACAATAATATGCGAGTGCAATACATACTCCCATTGCCATAGGAGAAAGTGTGTTGAAAAAAACAACGTTTAATGAGCGGCGGAGAGAAAAAGAGAAGGATAAAACCTTTTTTTCCCTTTTGTTCCACCGTGGCGCCAATGGAGAATACGACATACGAAAACCGCTGCCAAAACAACAACGCGGTAATTGTACTGACAAAAAAACACGCACACAAGTCTTTTGTCGGCAGCGGGTGCCGGAGCACCTGGCGGCGGCTGTGGTGGTCGGGCAAGCATAACAGTCACCTGCTCAGTCTTTTGTTGGGTTTCGCGCGGTGAAAGGCGGCGCGTAAACTTCGAAAAAACGGTTTCAGGGCGTCGGCCGGTATACTGCTGCACGTTGTTTGGTCACAAAATAATAATAATAATAATGTAGAAAATGTGATTCAGGTCGTCCGTGTGAGTGTATGATAATAATTTGATATTTATTTATTATACGCGACGACGGTCGGCGTCCTCCCGATTACCGCCCGAAGCTCGCTTGCGTTTTTAAACTGCACCCCTACTAATATTAATGATATTAAAACGATAATAATAACAACGTAGGTGCACGCGCGTTTTAAGACGAGGGACAAACGCACGCGCATATCCAGGC